TTAAAAAGTATTGCATAGAATTTTATAATCTTTTTTTTATTTAAAAGTTTTGGATTTAATGAATTTATAATATTATTTTTAGTTTAATATATTTTTTAGTCAGCTTGTTATAATTTTTTAAAAAATATCCACACTTATATAATAGACTACTGTATATACATGTTTTAAATCTTGCATTCTTATTTCATGTCGCATTTGCTTTTTTGTTTAATACTGATAATTTTAAGTTTATTATATCATTGAACTTCCTTGGTTGGAGCAAATGTATCATTCATTAATGATATTGTTTAAACCTTATCTAAATTGTTCATATATTTTTATTTTGTGTTACATTTGCTTTTTGATTTTATACTGAAATAGCTTTTTTTAAAACCTAAGCTGTAAATTAAATTGAACTTTCTGGGCTTGAGCACAAAAGGTTACTATTCAATAATAATATAATGTGATCTTACTTTAAATTATTTGTATATTTTTTGTCTTATAATTCATTGGGTTTTTTTGGTTTATATTGAGATACCTTTTAAAACACAACTTATGAATTACCTATTTACCTAATTAGCTTTCTTTGTTTCTAAATAGAATGTGACAACTTTGAACCTAATGAAGAGCAGTCTTCAGATAATATAATATAGTAAGTCCAACTTTTTGAATCTGCTTTTTCTTTCAAATGCTTTTAACTAAATTTAAATTATTAGTAACAGTAAATCTGCTGAACCAATAAATATTCTACTAGTCAGTTAAACGTTTTGCAATTGGGATAAATTTAATTGCTTTATATTTTTATATGCAAAATCAGAAAATTTTGTAAGCATGATATACAGATCAGAATATAGTGATGAGATTTGCTGAAACCACCAATATGCTTGTGAACATCAGAGTCATAGTGGTACTAATAAGACAAGTATTGTAGAAAATTAGTGACAGAGATGAAATAAACATATTAGATGTCACTGGCAAGTTTGTGCTAATTGTCTTAAGATAATAGGCATATTAATGATTACTTCTGTTTATTTGAATTACAATAACCACTTAATAAATTCTGAGACTAATAAGTTTGCCTTAAAATACTAGACATTTTTCGAAGATATGTTAAAGGATATTAAATTTTAAACTGAGACTAAGAATGTCAATATGAAAACTCAATATTAAATGTTAATAAAATGATATCCAGATGCTTTTTTTTTTGCCTCAAGATCTTTCAAATACTATCCAGACCTTCAAGCAACAAAATAATATTGAATGTAAAGTAGCAGCTCTATTTAATAATCTTCTTAAACATAAAGCAGAAGACAAAAGGTGGATTGTTAATTGGAGAGTTGATTTTGCTAATAATTCTCTTACATTTTTATTTTGAATTTCACCTAATCAAAATGACCTGTACATATGATACTGAGATATTATTCAACATGACAACATATATTTAACTATATTTTAAAATAGCATTAAGCTTTTTTGTAATAGTGAATAATAACAATTGATTATGTCTAATAGGGCAAGCACTCATGAATAATGAAACTACAGAGAGCTATGAATGAATTTTTCAAAGTTTAGTTAAATGTACTGGTATTATATCATTAACAATAATAACAAACAATGATCTTGCTATTAATGCAGCAATTGCTAACATCTTGCCTGATATATATCATATTCATTGTATATACCATATTAGTCAAAACTTAATAAAAATTTTAAAAGGCAAAATGGAAAATCAGTATAATGAATTTTTCAAAGACTGGTATCAAATATGCAATTCACCTTTATGTCAGTAATTTTACTATTTGTAGAACAAACTTCTAACAAAGTTTATCAGTTCTGTATTATATTTTAATCATATACTGTTTAATGAAAGAAATCATTGGGCTTTTTGTTATATTTCTAAAGTTTTTAATGCTAGGATGCAGTTAACACAGAGAGTTAAAGGCCAAAATTCTATTATAAAAAGCTCTGTGAATAGTAATATGGTTTTGATTAATCTGACAAAACATATTAATAAACAGATTGACTATGCATTTATCTTGGTTCAATATAAAAATTGAATATATTTTGTTATAGGTTCTACACTAATACATGCTAGTTCTGAATTTTTACCAGAGATTGATAAATGGATTGTAGCATATTTAACATCAGCTTCCTTATCTATACAACAGCAGAAAATTGCACAAGCAGTATAATATATATCATGTCTTATTAAAAATTTTCAAGAAGTAGGATTGCAGTTTGATATAACTGAACAATCTAATATTACTGAGAAACTTGAACAACAATCTAACATAAATGATCAATATGAACAGTTTGACCTTGTTAAACTAGCCAAGCAATCAAATTCATTCAATATTTTTAGTACCTTTGTTGAAGATTCTGTAAATACACCAGCTAGTTTACTTAAAAAATTAATACCATTTATAAAAATTAGTTCAATTTATGAGATTTGAAAGGTTACCTGGCATAGACACAATGCAAAAAACTATGTTGTATTGTTTAAAGATAATTTGCACCTATGTACATATTTTGTTTTAATACAGCATAGTTTAGTCTATAGACATTTTTTTAAAGTTATAGCTATGTCAAATTATGCCCTATTCCACATTATACTTATATCAAAATGATGATACATTGATGACAAACAAATTGAATTGGATTCACAAACATGACAACATCCTTTTATCATTGGATTAAGTAGCATGAAGGCTTTAACTAATATTGAACAACTGTTTTCTAACTTGTTATTTCAATTACCAGTTATTTTGTTCATTGATGTTCATGCTAAAATTAACTACTATAAAGCTTATATAACAGTTAATAGGCTTTCAAAGAAAGCTATACAAACTGGATTAGATGCTAGTTCTAATGCAATACAAGAACTTAAAAATTTTATGTGTAATTTTATCAGTAAATATACACTGAAAAACAAAGAAAAAGTAACTTATAGAAGGATTGAAAGGCAACAGGAAGATGAAAATAAAACTAATTCAAACTCTAGTTCTAGTAACAAAGAAAATTTCATCACAGTTGAGAATCTGATAGTGCATTTAAAGAAAAATGCACTAAGAAAAAGGCAGTTTAAAGAATTTAATGAATTAGAGAACAAAAATAAATATAGTGTAAACAATATTTGGAAATACGTAAGGCAAAAAAACCAACTCAATGTCAGCAATGTTATAATACAAAACATAACAAAGCTGGTTATGAAGCATGATATAAATAGCAATGTATTTTATATTCATATTAAATAATATGTTCAAAAATAGGAATACTTATAGTAGACTATAAGAATTAAGTTCTAGAAATATGTACTAATTAATTGAAATGCTTGTTATATTGTTTAATAGTGAGTCTGTATAGACTTCAATGCTAAATTTTAAATACTAATGTATATTTCAAAAGGATTAATAAGTAATATGTATACTATATTGTATGCATCTAAGTAGCTTTCTTTGCATAGTCACATACATACAATTTAGTATATTGTCTGTTATTACTAACACTAATGATATTTGTACACACAAATTACTGTCTTTATAAATTCAATTTTAAGTTAATTTGAGCTAATATTAATTAAAATTTCCAAATTTGAAAGACATCTAAAGTAGAGGCAACTTATATTTTTAATAATTTTCTCAATTAACTTTAAGGTTAGGGTCATCTTATATTAGTATTAGTTTAGGTTTTAAGTTGTTATATATAAGCAAAATTGCCTTCTCAACATTTTTACTTAACCTATTTGAGTTTGATTTAGATCATTATTCTTTGTAATTTTTAGGTTTTTTTATTTTTGTTTCTTGTTTTGCTTATAATTTGCTTGGTCATAGTCATGTGAATTTGTTCTACTTTAGACAGTCTTCAAATTTGTATGTATCAGTATAACTATTTGATTTATCAAATATAATTTAATTAATTGTTATACAAATATATTTAAATATAGTATTTTTGACTAATTATATAAGTAAATATTGATCACGTGATGTGGGTACATATAAATAAATCCTTTAAAAAAAATAAAAAAATAAAAACTTTATAAAAGTATAACAACTTGAAATAGTTAGTAAGTTGTCAATCTTCAAGTAATAGGTTTAATATTTAAATCTTATTTATAATAAAATTTAGATATTATACTTGTATTATAATAACTGTTACTATTTCAAACTATTTAATTGTTGCTATATAGTAAAGTAAACTACTATACCTTCATTTTGTATATATTTGCAATAATCAATTACTGTATCAGATAACCTTATTACTTGATTGTATCATATTAAAAGGTTAAAACTCTATAACATTTTGTCATTCAGTTTATCTGACAGTTCTTATGAAGGTGTTTTATGAGCATCCATCAGTCCAATGGCACTATTA